TTATTAACAGGGTTTTTTTTTTTTCAGTCTTATAACGTCAGTTTGTTTTGGTTTGACAGTTTTAGAGAGGAACAATCTCAGCAGGAGTTTTCCGACTGACACTTTATGATTCTACATTTTAATCAGACGACACTCATCATTTAAAACCAGTTTGAGACACATGATGTGTTTGTGAATTGGCTCAGATCTCCATGTCGTGCAGAAGTGAAAATTTAATGTTAGTAGTTAGTGTTAATTAAAATAAGTCATTATTGACTTTGGTAGTTGTTTAATATGTTTTCAGGCTGTTTAATCAAATAAAGGTGAGTGATTTCAGTCCATCAAAGAGTCAAACTCTGCAGTCAGGTTACTGTGTTCGTTTCATCAGCAAACAGTGTTTCACGTGTAGTTTAAAGAGACGCTATTAACCCTTTGTGTCCCATTATCACTCTGTAACCTACAGTACAACATCCTGCTGAGAACAGATTCAGATCCACTCATGATAAGATAAGATAAGATAAGATAAGATAAGATAAGATAAGATAAGGTAAGAGAAGATAATCCTTTATTCGTCCCAGCAGGGAAATTTGCAGCATTACAGCAGCAGAGGGATAATGCAAACAGGAAGCAACACAAAAGCAATATATAAGTACATATTTGTAAATAGAAAAGTACAGGTTGGTGTAATTAGCAAACAGTACAAAACACAATGCAATATAATAAGAAATCCATCCATTTTCATCAGCTTATCCGGGGCCGGTTCACGGGGGTAGCAAGCAAAGAAAAGCACCCCAGACGTCCCTCTCCCCAGCAACACTTTCCAGCTCCTCCTGGGGGACCCCAAGGTATTCCCAGGCCAGATGACATATGTGATCCCTCCAGCGTGTCCTGGGTCTGCCCCAGGGCCTCTTACCAGTGGGACTTGCCTGGAACACCAGCAGGCACCCAGGAGGCATCCTGATCAGATGCCTGAACCACCTCAACTGACCCCTTTCAATGTGAAGGAGCAGCGGCTCTACTCTGAGCTCTCTCTGGATGTTTGAGCTCCTTACCCTATCTCTAAGGCTGAGCCCAGCCACCCCACAGAGGAAACTCATTTCGGCTACTTGTATCTGCGACGTCATTATTGCAGTCACTACCCAGAGCTCATGACCATAGGTGAGGGTTGGGACACAGATGGACCAGTAAATAAAGCTTCATCTTCCAGCTCAGCTCCCCGTTCACAACAACAGTCCAGCGCAGCACCTGCTCCACCACAGATGCCGCCCCGAACCACCAATCCATCTCATGCTCCATTCTACCCTCACTCATGAACAAGACCCTGAGATACTTTCACAGCACCATAACCGTCTCAGATTCTACGTCTACTTACATTTTTTTTCAATATCTTAGATAAGCAAATGTACACGGTATGATAACAGTGAACTTATATATCACAGTATACCTTGAAGCCAGTTAATCACTCCAACCCTACTTTGACCAATCAGAGCTCAGACAGCTGTATGCAGTAAACATGGTGAAGAGAAAGAGGAGTGAACAGAGTCTTTTCAGAATCTATTGTTTGTTTATGTTCTTGTTCCCAGAAGTCTGTCTTTAATCGACATCATGCACATTGTGAAAGTCGAGGACCGATGTGTAGTCTGTCATGTCTCTCAGCACAGTCACGACAAGAAGTTATGACTCTATAATCTCCTGATCTGACACAGTGATCATTGAAACAGACAGAGACAAGATGCAGCCTGAACCTGATGTCAGATATTGTTACATTAAATTAATGAATGATGATGTGGATCAGTCAGACACTGAATGTGAACACGACTGTCGTCATGGAGTCAGGTTGTGTTTTTGCTGCTGCCACGTTCAGCTGTGATCTCAGGATCAGTCGGATGTTTGCTTTGTGTTGTGCTCACGGTGAGGTGCAGTCTGGGTAATAAATAACCAGGAGGAGCATGATGCCGCTAACCTTCAGAGTCAGGAAGCTGCTGAGAGGCCATCTGGAGCTCTGTGTCAGTGTGTGTGTGTGTGTGTGTGTGTGTGTGTGTGTGTGTGTTTCCTAGTTAAGATTCAGTGATGCTGCCAGAGTTATTTAGAGCATCATCTGCCTCCTGTTGAGTGTTGTCAACAGAGTGTGTGTTCACTTCGTCTGTTCAGAGAAACTCACACACTCATTACAGGAAGGAGGTTCCTTTCAAAATAAGACAACATCACACTGTCACTTAACATGTGAACTTATGGAAACACGTGACTGATGCAGTGTGATGTCAGCTCAGTAACTCATCAGGTTCTGAAACATTTTAGTTTTTTAAAGCGTTAAAAAAACAGGTAGAGTACAGCGTACCTGAGCAGGTAGAGTACAGAGTACCTGATCAGGTAGAGTACAGAGTACCTGAGCAGGTAGAGTACAGAGTACCTGAGCAGGTAGAGTACAGGGTACCTGAGCAGGTAGAGTACAGAGTACCTGAGCAGGTAGAGTACAGAGTACCTGAGCAGGTAGAGTACAGAGTACCTGAGCAGGTAGAGTACAGAGTACCTGAGCAGGTAGAGTACAGCGTACCTGAGCAGGTAGAGTACAGAGTACCTGAGCAGGTAGAGTACAGCGTACCTGAGCAGGTAGAGTACAGAGTACCTGAGCAGGTAGAGTACAGCGTACCTGAGCAGGTAGAGTACAGAGTACCTGAGCAGGTAGAGTACAGAGTACTTGAGCAGGTAGAGTACAGAGTACCTGAGCAGGTAGAGTACAGAGTACTTGAGCAGGTAGAGTACAGAGTACCTGAGCAGGTAGAGTACAGAGTACTTGAGCAGGTAGAGTACAGAGTACCTGAGCAGGTAGAGTACAGAGTACTTGAGCAGGTAGAGTACAGAGTACCTGAGCAGGTAGAGTACAGAGTACTTGAGCAGGTAGAGTACAGAGTACCTGAGCAGGTAGAGTACAGAGTACTTGAGCAGGTAGAGTACAGAGTACCTGAGCAGGTAGAGTACAGAGTACTTGAGCAGGTAGAGTACAGAGTACCTGAGCAGGTAGAGTACAGAGTACTTGAGCAGGTAGAGTACAGAGTACCTGAGCAGGTAGAGTACAGAGTACCTGAGCAGGTAGAGTACAGAGTACTTGAACAGGTAGAGTTGCAACTAGTTTATCAAATCAGTCATTTTACAGCCTTTGAACTGAGATGATTTTTTAATCAGGCTGCACCTAAAGATCAGTGTCATTGTCAGTTTGTCTGATGATTGTTTTCTAAGTTTAGTTGTTTAGTCTGTCAGATGTCAGAAAATGAAAACATCCAGTGAAAAACATACACCACAATTTCTGAATTCATGATAGTTGCCAATTATTTTTCTGTCAACTGATTAATCGATTAATTTAATCATCACTGCAGCTCAAACTCATAATGAAAATAATTAGTTTCAGCCACAGTCTGAAGAAGAAGAAAAAGAAATCCATGGCGGACATTTTATCAGTAATTTCTGACATTTATTTAACAGTGAATGGATTAATTGAGAAACTCAGCAGCTGATGAATCAGGTTATAAAAGAAGAGCTGCAGAAGGTTCAGGTGAGGGATGAGTCTCTGTGAGGACGCTGTCAGACCTTCACCTGGATTAAAGCATTTATTATTCACACACACACACACACACACACACACACACACACACCATCAGTCTGTCTTTGTCTGGCGCGTGCGCACACACACACACACACACACACACACACACACAGCTCCATCTGTAATACACTCCATCTCTCGTGCTGCCTTTGGGGCAGCTGCCTCTCCACAATGTTTCAGCTCCACTGCACAAACATGTTTCCTGTAAGACGACGCTCAGCAGATAAAAACCCATCATCACAGACATTTGTTTATTCATTTATTCACTTTAACCCATTCATCCAGACCACAGTGTCCACAGTGCTGCCGTGTGTCGGTCCTCAGGAGGAGCCTCAGGCTGTGGACTAACTGACTCATCCTGCCGTTTAACAGTGTAAAGACACACCGGTGGTCCACACACACTCGGGTCACGTCAGGTGTTCCCTCACTGTTAGCTTTAGCATTTAGCTTTCTGTTACAGTGGAACAAACTACACGTTCATCTGTGTCATGACTGTGTGGGGGGTTACATCACATTCATCCCAGCATGCCTCTGTGCACCTTCTACCTGAACAGACGTTACAATAAAAGCACCTCTGGGAGATTTACATCCTGTGAGACTTATTTCATTGTAAGTTGTGGGAAAAGATTAAGTTTTTTAATTTTTCCACTGTAAATATTTAATGTAATGTATTTCGAAAATGAAAAAACACATTTAGGTGTGAAGACAAAACTTTAGATGAAAACATTTATCACATTTACTTGTTTTACTTGTACATTTAAAGTGTAAATAGCTTTAACTCCTCATTATGACTGCACAGTAAAACGTCTATAGAATAAAGAACATCAGTGTTGTGATTGGTTCCCTATGAGCCTCACTGTCTCTGTGAAGTTCCGTCTACCACCGGGTTCGATCTCCCGGGAAAACGAAGGCTCCGTTAAGGGCACAAAGGAAGTAGGTCAACCACTGAGCAACTAAAACAGGAATAAGATGGCGCTTCAGTTTTCCCCTGGTAGCTATTAGTAGCTATCCTCCGATACCAAAGAGAGTCACTGTCAGATCTCTACACGTTCTAACATCAGTAGGAACAAACTGTGTTGGTGGTAGTTAAACTCAAACAGGAAGAGATCCGGTCGTCTTGGTGATGTCAGCACCAATGATAACACCACTCAGAGACACTAGAGGCTGTAAAAGTTGAAAAGTTTCTTAATAAACTGTCTGCTCCTGCTGATAAACATTTAAATATCACAGTTTTGGATTCAAATAACTGGTTTGATTATCTTTCTGCTGCTTTACTCTGATGACGTGATGTAAATGTGAGGTTATTGTCCAGGTAATGATCCTGCTGAAGGTTAATCTGTCTCCAGATCTGTCGTCCTCTGGTATCAGCAGCTCTCATTATCAAAGGTCTCATGTGTTGTTTGTCTCTGTGTCTCTGCAGGTGTTAACGTGCTGGTGGCTCCCAGGTGGCCTGTTGAGAAGGTGAGCCAGCTGCAGCTCTGACTCCTCACACTGGGGACACACAGGCTGAGGGCATACAGACAGGCTGAGGACACACAGACAGACTGAGGACAGACTAGCTGGGGACACACAGACAGGCTGGGGACTCGCAGTCTGAGGACCAGACAGACTCAGAAGGGGACACAAAGGGGGACAGCTACACCTGCTGGAAGCTCAGAGCATTACAGCACATGCACACTGTACAGACGGTCCTCAGTCAGTCTTCAGGTCAGAGACAGAGATTCAGGTTCATGTCGGCACTGATCTTTCAACCGATCTCAGATCAAACTCCACACTGAGCAGGTGTCACTGTTATTATAATGACATAATTTACATCATAATTGACATAATAATTAAAGTGTGTGTGTGTGTTGTAGGATGTGGTGACGGACAGCGCAGCAGCTGCAGATCAGCCTGCAGAGAAGTTTGAAGTCTCCTCTGAGTCTCTGTCGGAGCTTCAGGACTCAGTCGGCTCCAAACAGCCGGTCACCAAACGTCACAGGAAGTTGCTCCTGAAGAATCCCAACTCTTCCAGCGCTCCTGCAGGTGGAGAGGAGAAGCTACAGCTGCTGCAGCATCAGAGGCTGGCAGAGACGCAGGCGTCCCGGCGCCGCCTGCTGGCTGACGTCTGTGCCAAATACCAGCCAGGCGTCACTGAGCGGCGTGTGTCTCAGCGGCAGGTGTCCCGGGTGTACGTGGAGGACCGGTCCAGGCTGCTGTACTGCGAGGTGCCCAAAGCCGGCTGCTCCAACTGGAAGCGGGTGCTGATGGTGTTGGGTGGCAGCGCCACCTCCACACGAGACATTCCTCATGACGCGGCGCATTATGCCAACCACCTGCGGCGGCTGGAGAGCTACGACCGCGCTGGCATCGCAGAGAGACTTCGCTTCTACACCAAAGTGTTGTTCGTCAGGGAGCCCTTTGAGCGTCTGGTGTCGGCCTTCCGGGACAAGTTTGAGAGTCCAAACTCGTACTACCACCCAGTCTTTGGACGCCCAATCATCTCCAGATACCGCGCCAATGCCACGCGCACTGCCCTGCGCACAGGTGCCGGTGTCACCTTCAGGGAGTTCGTGCAGTACCTGCTGGATGTGCGGCGGCCGGTGGGGATGGACATCCACTGGGAGCCCATCAGTCAGCTGTGTAACCCCTGCCTCCTCAGGTACAACTTCATCGGCAAGTTTGAGAACCTGGAGGAAGAAGCCAACTTCCTGCTGCAGAACGTCGGCGCACCGAGGAACCTCACGTTCCCCGACTTCAAAGACAGGAACCCCCGAGCTGAGAGGACTTCCTCCAAAATCACCCAGAGGTATTTCTCACAGCTCAACGCCACCGAGCGGCAGAAGGCCTTCGACTTCTACTACATGGACTACCTGATGTTCAACTACCCCAAACCGTTCAAAGACCTGCACTGAGGACGGGACTAGACCTGGGGGGGTCACTGAGGACAGGACCTGGGGGAGGGGTGGGGCCTGAGTCCATGACCTGGGGAGGGCGGGGTAATACTGGTGAAGCTAAGTGACTTAATCAAGTTATTGTTTGTATTCTTTCTGTTCCAGGTGCTCCGTGTCTCAGTCGCTCAGTTTAACTCTTTGACAGTCTCTGAATCGTGGTGATGACTTTTTTTTTACCCACAATGCAGCAGGTGTGACAGGAACAACAACACTCTGACATGTCTTATATGCTGCACATCACTGAGACTTTAAATATGCACTATGGTTAACGTGTGTCTGATCTGTTTGTGAAACTGTTTTTATTTTTCTGTCGCAGAATCAGAGGAGTTCAGGTACAGACTCATCAACTGAACACCAGCTCTGATCCACAGTTTGACGTCGCGTCTCTAAAACAAACATCACAATCTCTTTATTTGTCATTCTTTATATAAACACAAACCAGACGTGACCGACTGTCAGCTGGAGAACATTTCTCTATCAGTTCTTTCATAAATATAGTTCATACCCTCAAATTATTTCAAAAATATTCAGCTTACTTTGATTCAAAAAAATTCAAGATGCTGAAACATCAAATGTTTTGTATTTTTGTTGAGAACTTTCCGAAGTGATCAATCAGTTATCAGAATAACTGTCAGTTAATATGTAGGTATGAAATATAATAAACATAATAATATGTTAAAGCAGTGGCTCCCAACTGGTAATTAGTTCAAAGTCCACACAGTTAAATATACTCGGTGTCATACTTGGTTTGGCGGTGTCGTCGAGTTAGCTACTTGTCAGAGACAGCAAACTGTCTGTTAGTTTCTCACTCTACAGCAGCAAACGGCATTTCAAAATAAAAGTTCTGTGCTAGAAATTCAACATGACACATCTGTAAGTCGCTTGCAGTCCATTCAGAATTGACCCATGACCCACTTTTGGACCACGACCCACCAGGTGGGAACCACTGTGTTAAAGTATCTGCTGTTAATATACTGTGTGTGCTGTATGTAATAATATACACACACTATACCTAATAACACAATGAAATATAGGTATATAATAAAAATAAAAGAGACCACTCTGATATAACATATAATATTATATAACACTATATTAGTAATATAGTATTTTCATATACTTATATCAGTAATATAATGTAAAATAAAATAGTGTTATATGTGCTACTACTCCTTATACTACTACTATCATAGTAATAATGACAATGGTGATAAATAATCAGAGATACAATAATCATAATGAGCAAAGGCTGAGCTTTTATTTTGACATTTTATTTTGTACAGATGACAGGAAGTCACATACTAACACACTGCCTACTACATACTTAGTCAGCATGTGCTGCATACTGCCCACCAAATTAACCGTTAAAGATCCGTGTGTAAGATTTAGGAGGATTTAGTGGCGTATAGAGGTGAGGATTTCAGATTTTAACCAGCAATCAGTGATCATTGTTGAGGAGGTTTTTACCATGAGCCAAATTATCCTCTGAGGTCTCTTCCTCTCTAAAACAAACTTCCTACTTAGAGCCGGTGTTTGGTTTGTCTATTCTGGGCTTCTGTAGAAACATGATGTTGCAACATGGTGACCTCTGTAAAAGAGGACCCGCTCCCTATGTAGATATAAACGGCTCATTCTAAGCTAACAAAAACTCAAAGATTCATATTTTCAATTGATTACATGTAACACACTGGACCTTTACGTACGCAGACTGTTCAGTATACTCTAATTACATGACTGCATCACATGACTGGTGGCCAGTCTGACCCGGCCAGCAGCTCACACACCTCGGACAGTTTTCTATCATTACGTAAACTAAATGACTCCTGAGTTAGAGACATGTTTTATGGATACTTCTTATTATATTCAATGGATAACAATAATAATAGAGAACAGCTGATAAACTGGAAAATTAGCCCAAATGTTGAACCCAGTAACTGCAGGATGTTTGAGTAAAATGCATCAGAGATGAGTTTTCCTGATATTTTTAGGATTTTTTGAATACGTTTTTATGATTATATTGTTTTTTTGTTGTTTGTTTTATTCTGTTTTTGACAGAATGAGTGTTCTATGAACTCTTTGTTTTAACTGTGTATTTTTCTAATGCAGGATGAGGCTGTTTAACAGAGACAGAAGGCTTTCTGTATATGTTGTGTGTTCAGGTCTTCACCCTGTCCTCATCCTGGGCGATCTTATTTTAATTTTCTAAACTTAAAAAATAACAATTTCATTTACTGTAGAACTTAAATTAGTAGCCCGGGCTATTATTGTCTTAAATCACTGACATCAAGAGGCCTATATTTGGGACAGGCCTTTAATTCCCTTTCACACAAAACTGTTGTTCAGCAAAGATCAGGAAATACGATCACATTTTTTATTTAAACCAGTATGACTTTTACTGAGTTCTGAATCATTCATTTGATCTAGCTTTGACAGGCCATAAGAGAGAGTGAGAGCTACAGCACTCGAGGATTACAGCACCCAGCATACTGACACAACACCACTTTATCCTGTTAAAACAATCCTCACAACTTGGGTTAATTTTTATGTAAAATCCTTCTGATTCTTTTGATCTGACGACTCTTACGGACTAAAGGAATATGAACAACTTACAGGGTAATCAAGGTATGGACACATAATTTGAGGTAGCTAACAACCTGGTTTTAAACATCCGAAGAACTTCTATAGAAACATGTACTCCTTGGCAACCAGACCAGGCCTCTAATTGAGACAGGCCTTTATTTGTCAAAGTGTATAGCTACACCGGGCTAGTAAAAGGGACTGGGCGGTTAATTGGAGTTTTACAGTTTTCTTCACAGAAATATATATATATAAAAATAACTGAAGTTTTGGTGACCCCTGGTGGGAGTCGGGACCCCCATGTTGGGAACCAGTGATTTAGGTGTTTTCACATATGGTCCTTTTAAAGCAAACTGACCTCAGTCCTCTTAGGATGTTTTCACACTTGGACTCAGAGTGGTGACTCAGCATTTTTGCACATATGTGAACACTACAAGAGAACTCAGACCCCTCTGAAGCAAACAGAACTCAGACCCCTCTGAAGCAAACAGAAGTCAGACCCCTTTGAAGCGAACAGAACTCAGACCCCTTTGAAGCAAACAGAACTCAGACCCCTTTGAAGCGAACAGAACTCAGACCCCTTTGAAGCGAACAGAACTCAGACCCCTTTGAAGCAAACAGAACTCAGACCCCTTTGAAGCGAACAGAAGTCAGACCCCTTTGAAGCGAACAGAACTCAGACCCCTTTGAAGCGAACAGAACTCAGACCCCTCTGAAGCGAACAGAACTCAGACCCCTCTGAAGCGAACAGAACTCAGACCCCTCTGCAGCGAACAGAACTCAGACCCCTCTGAAGCAAACAGAACTCAGACCCCTTTGAAGCGAACAGAAGTCAGACCCCTTTGAAGCGAACAGAACTCAGACCCCTTTGAAGCAAACAGAACTCAGACCCCTTTGAAGCGAACAGAACTCAGACCCCTTTGAAGCGAACAGAACTCAGACCCCTTTGAAGCGAACAGAACTCAGACCCCTCTGAAGCGAACAGAACTCAGACCCCTCTGAAGCGAACAGAACTCAGACCCCTCTGCAGCGAACAGAACTCAGACCCCTCTGAAGCAAACAGAACTCAGACCCCTTTGAAGCGAACAGAAGTCAGACCCCTTTGAAGCGAACAGAACTCAGACCCCTTTGAAGCAAACAGAACTCAGACCCCTTTGAAGCGAACAGAACTCAGACCCCTTTGAAGCGAACAGAACTCAGACCCCTTTGAAGCGAACAGAACTCAGACCCCTCTGAAGCGAACAGAACTCAGACCCCTCTGAAGCGAACAGAACTCAGACCCCTCTGAAGCGAACAGAACTCAGACCCCTCTGAAGCGAACAGAACTCAGACCCCTCTGAAGCGAACAGAACTCAGACCCCTCTGAAGCGAACAGAACTCAGACCCCTCTGAAGCGAACAGAACTCAGACCCCTCTGAAGCGAACAGAACTCAGACCCCTCTGAAGCGAACAGAACTCAGACCCCTCTGAAGCGAACAGAACTCAGACCCCTCTGAAGCGAACAGAACTCAGACCCCTCTGAAGCGAACAGAACTCAAATCCATCTGAAGCGAACAGAACTCAGACCAGTTCACTTAACATGTGCCTTGTGAACACAAAGCGCTCCAGGTTCACTTTGCTCTCTGCCGTTGTATTGAGCCCTCTAGATCACATCCTGTTGACCTGGGACTCTTGAAAAACAGATGAAACCACATCGGCCGTAACGCTTGCAAGGATGCAGGACGAGGAGTGGTTTGGTGCACAGAAGATACTGCACGTCTCCAGATGTGGACTGTAGAATACATCAAACAGCAACAGTCTACAGCACAGAAACACTAAGGTTTCCCTCCAATATTAAGTTAATTTGAAAGCGAGGGGCTTCATAGCCGCACTGCAGCGCCACATCAAAGTAAAAACCAAACTACATCAGTATATTAAATATAGGCTTTAGTGTGAACACAAAGAGGACTGAGTCCCTTTTCTGTTGGTTCGCTTTAAGAGGACTGAGATCTGTTTGTTCTAAAAGGACTATGTGAAAACACCCAAAGAGACCATGTGGATAGGAGTGGGTATGGAGGGGTTAATCATCACCAGAACAATAATCATGATCATTTTAAATCTGTCCTCGTGTAGTGGACATCTATCGATCCAGCTGTGGACAGTTTGAACATCTTGTCTTCTGTTTTTTTGCTTTAATGACTTCTGTGAAGTTTGTTTTAGATTCTTTTCTCTGATACTTTGTCCACATGAACATGTCTAACTGAGACACACCTGACACGACATAAAGACAGCTACGTCTCCTTTTCTTTGTCTCTTTACAGGAGAGAGACACATGACGTCGTGTTTTATTACAGTTCAGTTTTCTCTGAAACAAACTGGAGTTTAATCCTCAGTGTGACACAAAGGGACAAAGATGTGTTTAAATGTGGACGCAGTCTGTTTCTGTACCTGAGACTGTCTTTAAACTTCCAGACTGAGTGGACGTGATGGAAACAGGTGACACGTTGTGCCTCTGTGAGAGTGAATCAGCTGACGTCAGATGGACATACGGAGACGACCTCAAAGCCTTAACACTGCCATTTCACCTTCATGTGAATATTAATAAATGTGTCTTTTTATCCACAAACTGAGACCTGATGGTTTTTATTTGTCAATGACACTAAGTTTATCATCAGATCAATAAATGTATTCTGTCTTTAATGTTTCAGTTTCCCTCCAGGATCGAGCACATGACGAGGATCAAACACTGACAGTCACACTGAGCCTTTGAATTAAAGGCACTCCAGCTGAACTACACTCAGTGGCCACTTTATTAGGTACACCTGTATAATGTAATCCTACAGCTCAGCCACGAATTCTCCCTTGACAGAGATGATGATGTCACTATTTATTTATTATGTTTAAATAAGGAAGAGGTGACTTTGTTGGGGACTATTTTCAGCAGCGGATTAATCTACATTTGGTGCTGTAGAGAGTACAAGCAGGACGATGTGTGTGTTGATGGTGATGAAGGAACATGTCAGTGACATCGTGATGTGATTTGGAGGAGGAGGAAGAAGATGGGTTGATCAGCAGACTCCTCTTCATCACTAAAATGTGACTCTTCAGTGACATCTAGCGGCAGCCGCAGGAACTGCAGGTGAAACCTTTAATATTTAACATTCAAAGTTTCACCCACGTTTTTAAATTGTGTTAAACTGGAAACATTTCTGTGAACTTTTTTATTCCCTCCTCATTCTTCCCTCCTCTTACTCCTTCTTTATCCTTCCCTCCTCTTCCTCCCCTCCTCCTCACTTCATCTTCCTCCCCTCTTCATCCTCCCCTCTTCGTTCTTCTCTTCTCATCCTCCTCTTTATCTTCCCCTTCTCTTCCTCCTTTCCTCCTTATACTCAAATTTCTCACCAACCTTACTCTTCCTCCCCTCCTCTTCCTCTCTCTTCATCCACCTCTCCTCTTCCTCTTTCCCTCTTCTTCCTCCCCTCTTCCTTCTCCCCTCTTTATCCTCCTCCCTTGATCCTTGTCTTTCTCCTCCTGTCCTCTTCATCCTCCCCTCCTCTTCCTCCTTCCCTGCTCTTCCCCACTCTTTATCCTCCCCTCCTCTTCTTTCCCTCTTCCTCTGGTCCTCCTCCTCTTCCTCCCCCTCCTCTTTCTCCTCTCTCCATCCTCCCCTTTTAATCCTCCCTCCATCTTCCTCTCTTCTTTATCCTCCTCTTCTTCCCCTACTCATCCTTCCCTCTTCGTTCTTCTCTCCTCATCCCCCTCTCCTTATCGATCCCTCCTCTTCCTCCTCTCTTCTCAACTCTTCCACCATTCCTCATCTTCATCTTCCTCTTCCTCCCCTCCCCTTCTGTCCCTTTTCCTCTGCCCCTCCCTATCCTACTCCCTTGATCCTCGCCTCCGCATCCTCCCCTCTTCCTCCCCCTCCTCCCCTGCTCCTCTTCCTCCCCTCCCCTCCTCCCCTCTTCCTCGCTGTATACAGAGGAGTCACAGAGTAGGAGCCTGGTGGTGCCTCTGGCGGGTTTAGGAGATATTTAAATCTTTAAATTCCAACACGCTCCTCTCGTTCTTCGTCTAATTGAAGTAACTGCAGGCTTCTTTAATTAGAGACAGAATCAAGTCAGTGAAGGAGCTGCTGCTGCGGGCTGTGTGTGTGTGTGTGTGTGTGTGTGTGTGTGTGTGTTCAATGTAACTTGTTCAGTGTGTCTCAGTAACACACATGAGTTTCCCATCAGCCCCTGTTGTATCACAGAGTGTCACAGGGAAACCCCTCACACAGTCCAGCACCAGGTCTTCAAACCACAGATATGGTTTCGAACCCAGGGTGGGGAGCCCTTCAGTGCGGAGTTTGCATGTTCTCCCTGTGTCAGCGTGGGTTTCCTCCAGGTGCTCCAGCTTCCTCCCACAGTCCAAAGACATGCAGGTTAATTGGTGACTCTAATTGTCCGTAGGTGTGAATGTGAGTGTGAATGATTGTCTGTCTCTATGTGTCAGCCCTGTGATAGTCTGGAGACCTGTCCAGGGTGAACCCAGCCTCTCACCCAGTGTCAGCTGGGATAGGCTCCAGCCCCCCTGTGATCCCAAACAGGATAAGCTGTTACGAAAAATGAATGAATGAATGAATTTGATTAACTCATGAAAAACAGAAATGTCTTGTTATCAGCTGTGGACCCTCAGATTTACCTGGAGACCCTCTGAGGGAGCGCGAGCCTCATGGTGGGAACCACTGGTTCCTCTGCAGGGGGCGACAGTGAGCACAAAGTTACAGGTTTCACAAAGTCTGAAGGTTTCTGAAAGCTCAAACTCTTTTAATCTGCGCAATATGTTTATTTGTTGTATTTATTTCTTCAATTATTGGCTCGTCTGTCCTCAGGGTGCAATGATTAGCTATGATTGTATGAACATCATGAACATATGTTTTCTGAACTGTGTGGTTTGATCATCAGTAGTTGTGTCTCACAGCTCAGTGCTGCAGCTCATGTGTTTGATATCTCAAGTTTTATTTGTGTTGTATGTTTATTGTTTCTCTGCATGTGTCAGTTATTGTTTATTTGCTGTTCTGTTTCTCTGCGTGGTGCGTTCACTGTCTTCAGAGTGACTGTTTTGTTGCTCTCTTGTACAATGATTAGTGCAACTTTAACTTCACTTGATTTAAAACCACAGGGCATTTAAAGAGAAAAAAAACTTCCTGACAACATCAGAATATTTCACATATGAATCAGAGCCAAGCTGCCATATTCATGAAGGTTTAAGTATGATACTGTGTCAGTTGTAGCCGTGACAGAAATTCTGCACACTGAAAATGTTTGAGCCTGCAGGATCTTCATCAGACAAACAGGCTGAATTACTGACAGGACATCACGTGACATACAACATGATACTCACAGACTATCAGTGAGTGATGTACAGAAGGCAGAGTGATGGAGGTGAAACAGTTTCATCTGTACTTCACCTTAAAACAAGACAAAAGCTTTTTTTATATCAGTTGTGACATTAATTCATTTAATTCTACAGATTTAAATCAGACTGATTGTGTGTGTGTGTGTGTGTGTGTGTGTGTGTGTGTGTGTGTGTGTGTGTTTAGTTGTAGCTGCAGCAGTACAGGTGATGGGAGTCTGAGTGGATGGATGTGACAGCCAGCAGCCACACCAACACATCACATCCCGGCTCGGTGTCTCTGCGTAAAGCAGCGCGCACCGCAGCACAAAATGGTTCCTGCATATGAACGGACCAAAGCTTTGCTGACTTTCAGCCTTCTTCCTCCTCATCGTCACAGACACATCAGCAGCTGCAGCTGCAGCTGTAGCAGCACGGAGACGCTTCAGACTGAGCCGAGAGATGAGGAGAATTAAACGGATCTGTGTGCGCAGCCCCCCGGCGCACATCTCCATCTACCAGTGCGCAATAATTGAAATGGCGCATTTGGCCGCAGGCTGCTGGAGGGGCATAATGCATGACGATAGACGTCATTTGGCTCCAGAGCCAGAGGGATGTTTGATGTTGCTAAAATATATGAGAGGTCGGCAGAGAGACGTGGATGTGCAGGCAGACAGGAGGAGGAAGAGACAGCAGCTCCAGACTGAATCCAGCGTGAAGACAACAGGACGGATTTATGTTCACAGCCTCGCGTTATTGATGGATATTTAATTCTTCTGATAAATCATCTTTCTGTCACAGCAGGCGGAGGATCTATTTACTGTCCTTGGTTGACAGAAACGAGTTGGGGCGAGAGAAAAGAACAAACCGCCCCGCGTTATTGTAACCTAATCCTGCCCCCGGGGGTCTGAAGGGCCCCGGGCTCCCTGCTCCTCTTTCAGCCCTCCTCTTTATTCTTCTGGAGGAGACACGGACAGGCTTGTTCACCTCCTTCTGCTTCACACACACACTCTCTCACACGCACACACACACCGGAGAAGACAGCCTGGCGAGGACGTGAACTGAAGACCAGCCGGTATCCGCACATTTCAAACCACGGGACGGAGCAGACAGACGCCGGTCTCCATGTCGTCTGTGTCGGTGTCCTCTCAGGTAAGAGCACGCTGCTTTACGCCGAGCACGCCACGCACATCTTAACGTGAGATTTACACGCAAAATTTTCACGTTTACGTTGTAAAACCCCGAAATCCCGAGGACATTCCCCGGGGTTTCGACTGGCCCCGATATGCGCTGTTTCACCAAACTCCTTTTAAAATACCACCATTTTAAGTCTTTGTTGGTATCTGCACACTTATGTACAAGAAATACAGCAACGCTTGATATTTTCTATAATGGCTTCAAACAGTATTTAATTCGGCATGCATTATTTGTTCCAAAACAGAGCCAGTTTCAATAAGACGTGAACTTTTGCTGCTGGCTAGCTTGTTTTTCCGGCCATCTTTCCCCCGCGAACACGCCGTTTTAAACGGCAGAGATCAGTGTGGCTCTGCGGTAAAAGTAAAATATATCAAAACTAAGCTTTAATTCGTAGTCAAGTCATATGCCGAATTGACCAGAAGGCCGTACACTACAGAAAAACACTCTTAAATCGGGTGAGGCCACACTCAACGTCTGCTTATTAGCAAGGCCGCGTTAAATGTTGAGGTTTCAAGATGGAGTCTGGCGTGTGGCGTTGTTCCCACACAAGCTCGAGCGGCGTTCATTAGGACCAGGTGTGCAGGACCACAGACGCTGAAGCAGGTCTCTGTGTGTCCCACAGGCAGCATGAGTTGATTGATAGTTCAGAGGTTTACTTTGAAAACTTGCTTTTTCATCAGCTGTTGTTTTCCTGAAACTTAATCTCATCAGCCGACTGAGCTGTGTGTGTGTGCGCGCGCGCGTGTGTTCACAGAACTGTCCATCACACTGAGTGACTGCAGCTTCCTGTTTGTCTGTCTGCTGTCTTGATTTATTTGCTGTGTGCTGACTCTTCAAGATGTGATGGCCTCCTGCAGATCACTCAGCTGATTGAAATGTGTCTCAGCCCTGAGATAATTTATATAATAATTACACTGTGTGACTTTATATGTGGAGCCTGTAATCAGCATAAACCTGCACTCTGTTATTTCCTGTGATTTTAACATTGAGCCTGGTGCAGCTGAACGGCTGCAGACAGACAGACAGACAGACAGACAGACGGAGGAGAGGAGGGGGGGCAGTGTTTGTCAGTTTGGCCCGGGGCAGCGTGCCGGCCGCAGGGCAGAGACACTGAAAGCTGCAGCCGCCTCCTGTTCACCTTTCATGCTTCAAAGCTCCTCTTTACAACCCACAAACCTACTGTGAGGAGGAGGAGGAGGAGGAGGGGGGTTCAATTAATCCAGAGTAAGGCAACCCCCCCACCCCCACCTACCCCAGGTCATCCTCTGTTTCATCAGTCTGCTGCACCCTCCATTAACATCACATCATCCACCACTTCACTGATACTACAGTACAGCACTACCACTGCAATCTCTCAGCTTCATGTAGTTACAGTATCATTGTCATGTGACCAACAGGTGACCTCTACATTTACTGGACTGGTTATAGTAGGACATCATTGGTTGCCGTGGTGATACTTTATTTGTAAAGTCTCAGGTTGTTGTATTTCTGTGTGTTAAAAACGGTCGTTAACCTTGTAGTGTCCACAGACTTTTTAGCTGAACTGTGAGTTTAGTCTGTTTCCTGGTTGACTGTAGTGAAGCTTCACTGATGGAGGAGGGTTATATTTATTATTAATAATCAGCTGTATGACAGTAAACATGTCGGCACAACAATGTTCACTCCAACTGCATGTTATAGACCTGTGATTGGCCAACGTTTCCCATCAGAGGATAGATCTTCTGAAGCCTGAAACAGAGCCAAGAGGAGGTGCAGACATCTAGTGTTCTCTCAGTCCACTTGAATTATAATGTGCTCAAAGGTTATTATGGGATATGGCAACACCTGCTTTAACTGACCTATGTTTGACTTTTATCTGAGTACATTTTTACTCAAGTACTTTTACTTAAGTAAAATTTCTTTAAACTAGCAGTACCTTTACTAGACTAGAGGAGAGCTGCGTTTAAAATTCTAAATGAAACGATAAAACTCATTCAGAGGCCGTTTCCAGCTTCGATCTGTAGTTCTGAATGTGAAACTCAGCGAGGACCAATAAGAGGATTTTGTTTCACTGACACTTCAGAGTTCAGACCAGTCGATCTGCACCAGGGGCTTCTGGGAAATAAAGTTTAAAAAGAAACTAGCAGAGTTCAGAGCAGTGAGGTGACTCCCCAGCAGTGTTACACCCTGCCTGGCTTAACACTGCTGCCTATGGCCATGTGTGAACCTGTCCTAAAACCACCCTAAACGTTGGTTTTCAAAGCCATGAAAGTCACCGAGTGGTCACTGGTGTTCGTTGATGTTCTGACAAAAATCATAGCTAACTGTGGTTTCCATGTAATAACCCTGTTCTCACCTGTCGCAGGAGGGGCGGAGCATGTCCAGGATGTCTCTGAGCCGCTCACCTGTGTCCCCCATGACCGCTCAGGGCATCCCGTCCCCCGCCCAGCTCACCAAGGCCAACGCCCCCGTGCACATCGACGTGGGAGGGCACATGTACACCAGCAGCCTGGCGACACTCACCAAATACCCCGAGTCCAGGTAAGACCAACTTTTAATTTGTGACATGACCAGGTGTGAACAGCAGCAGGGTTCAGAGTCACTGAGTCATGTGACTGCTCTGAAGACTTGAAGTTAACTTTCTGTTTCTGTACTCTGAGATAAATCAGCTCCACTCTAGCATGCTCACGTCACAGCTGAAACAGTTATCTGGAAAATGTAGTTTCCTCTCACTGCTGCTGTCTGAGCACAATGTGTATTTCTGTTTCTGTGCGCACAGACTCACCGTACACGAAGAATGTGACTGTTCATTTATAATAAAAGCACTAAAGGCAGCAGAATAGTCTCAGCTTATTAACTTCCTGTCCCTCGTTCTTTGTGTTTCCACTCTGTGAGGATAAAGACGGAGTCGTGTTAGAGACAGGAGGAGAAAAGGGAGAATTTAATTGGGTTTTGAAGGACAGAGACAGAGAGAGGAGGTGATGCGGAGGTCTGCAGGGAGGACTGACCTGAGGTCAGAAACTCCTCATCCTGCAGAGTCTCTGTGCAAACAGATGTGTAGACGTCAGCACTTCGCTGAGTTTAACTGAGACATTAAGTGTGGAACATTTTCCTCTTTAGAGGAAACAACAGATCCTGCAGCTTTAACAAAGTCCTCTCACACAGTCAACTGAATTATGAGCTGATGAATGATGAGACATGAAATGATGTGTGTTTAGTATTAATTGATTTTTAGGGCTGTAGCTAAAGAAAGAGATTATTTCTCTAATTTATAAATTTGCAGATTATTCTCTTGATTATTTGATTCTGAAAAACAGAACAGTCATGATTACAAATGTCCATTTTCAAAGAGATTCATATATATATCCAGTATCTTGAGGTTCTTGTATAGGTTTAGCCCTCAGCTCTGTGACTCTGTGTCTCTGCAGGATCAGTCGTCTGTTTAACGGCACCGAGCCCATCGTGTTGGACAGTCTGAAGCAGCACTACTTCATCGACAGAGACGGAGACATCTTCCGCTACATCCTCAGCTTCCTGCGGACCTGCAAGCTGCTGCTGCCTGAAGACTTCAAGGTACTTTCACTGGAAAACTGTCACAAAGAAACCATGAATATGATCGTAATAATCTGAAGCTGTTTAACATCTAAACTTAACATATCAAAGATTTATGTCTTCTGAACCGAGACATTAAACTGATAATGTTCAGATACTCTAAAGAGAGTTTCATTAATGTTACTGTAACATGACTGGTACAGTGTGAAGCTTTACGCATCTGAACTTTGACCCATGTAGTCTGACCTCTTGTCTGACACACATGAAGCTGGGCATATGGATTGATTTGGGGGTTGATGGATGGATTAATGGATTGATAGATGGATTAAGGTTGATGGATTGATTTGGGCATTGGTAAATTCAGGGAAGGATGGATTGATTCAGGGATTAATGATTTGATGGGAGACAAAAGATAAGACGGTGATAAGGTGGAAAGGAGGTTTCTCTCTAATTCAGTCAGAATTTAAGTATGAGCTGCTCTTTATTTAATGTGCCACTGATGCATGTTTGGTTTGAAACACACAACGGCTGTTGGTGCTGGCAATGTGCTGAATGTTTATCGTCGTCTTTTCCTCATTTTTTTTTACGTTCTTTCTTCTTTTGTTTCCCCAAAATAATGCCCAAATATGTGTGCTGAAAAGTCGATCTCAGGTCAGAGGGTCACAGACAGACAAACTCATGAAGTTTATTGTTATTACTCGAGGATGCCTCTCGTCTTTCCTGGGGTCTTGCACACTGAAATACAGTAGAAAGAGTCAGAATGCTAGCGTGACAGCTAAATAATATAAATTAAGGATGATGTAATGATAGACTAGGCAGTACAATTAAACACAGCAACAGAAAGAGAAAGACACTTGCAGACATAAAGTGATAATGATGCAAGACCCTTCACTAAGCCCCGCCCCTTTGTGATGCTCCAACAAGCTGTCGCAGTCCGTATGGAGCCCACACTGTAACTAACTGAAGAAATATTATCATATTTTGGAAAACGGAACCAGTGATTCCAGAGAGAAGCAGACAGAGGGGTCTACAGTCTGTGTTTGAAGGATATATCCAGGATGTCAAACTGACTCAGCAGCAACAACAGGTTAAAAAGACAAAGATAGTTAGAAGCTAAAGCCGAACTATAGGCCACAGATCACAGTGTAAAAGTGAACCACCACATCACTGCTGATCGCCACACAAGACAATGAATATAAAGGGAAACTTCGCTGATACTGAACCAGCTGTGTGGCATCACAGTGTGTGCAGATGAACTGTGATTGGCTTCACTCCCGTGTTGCTGCCAGCACCCGAATGTTCATCTGCACACACTGTGATGCCACACAGCTGGTTCAGTATCAGCAAAGTTTCCCTGCTTCCCTTCACTGGTTCCTGTACAGCAGGGTCGCTCTTTGTTTCACTGTTATAATCATCAAAAAGCAAAAGCAGCATGTGTATACATTCAGTAGGCTATATCTTCAGTAGCTAGCTAGCTAACCCTACACTTTAAAGGGTTTGAGTTTGGTTTTGGAACAGGGAAGAAACGTTTATCTTTTTCCAACCTCTCCAGGTAACGAGTATCATTAATACACGACGTGCCCCAGGCACAACATTTAGCTCCAAATCCTCAAAACCAGCCTGAAAATGAAGGAAATCTAAACAATTGCATTAGAGTCAATGTTGAACCCTGGTCTTAGCCCCCCGTCCATATTTACCATATTTTTACCAACAAGAAAACAAGCTAATGAGAAACACATTTAAACAACTGTTATCATTTTATCTTGTGTGTTCTCCACCGTACCCGTCAATGCTCCAGCATGTTCTGACTGTGAAACCTCTCTGATGAACACATGAAGGTGAACTGCATTACCACGACTAGATGTAGACCCCCGAATACAGCCCAACCGTTAGCATCAGATCTTTTGGAGGCGCCTGTCGCCTTTAGGAAGTTTCAGCACTGTGTGTAATGATGAGTTGTAATCTGTGTGTGTAATAACGAGCTGTAGTCTCAAAGATGTAGTTAAAAAAAAAAAAAAGAACGACCTTCAGGTCAAACATCTGATTTGTGTTCGTTAGCTTTAACAAACAGCAGCGAGTCTTTGAACACATTCTGACACTTTAATCAGCACCGCCGGCTGCAGAGATCCATCCAGTGTCGCTTACAGCACAGTGTGTGTTTTACTAAATTAGTGTGTGTGTGTGTGTGTGTGTGTGTGTGTGTGTGTGTGTGGGCATATTGCATCCCTCTCATCATCCTCCCTGTAGTTAGCGAGTGCTGCCTCTGTTATTCTGCTCAGAATGACTAAAAAGCCCCGCAGACACAACCCCTCTTTATAAAACACATCTATGCCTCGCTTCCAGTCTGTGGTGGGGGGGTGAGGAGGGGGTGAGGAGGGGGTGAGGAGGAGGAGTGAAGGAGGCGAGGCTTTGATACAGCGTGAGGCCTGGGGCCAACAGCAGCTCTCTGTCAGCAGCAGTGTGGAGTAAAAAGCTTCTTCTCTTTCTGTGTTTCACCGGAGGAGGAAGCAGCAATCAGCTCAGTGAGAGGAGATATAATGACACAGAAGTGACGCTTCCTTACAGCTCAGGTTTATATCTGTTAACAAGTCACTGATGGTGACTAGGAGCAGAGGTCAGCTCAGGTTTATATCATGGTTACAGTGTGTGTTGTCATGGTTACTGTGAGTCTTGTCATGGTTACGGTGAGTGTTGTCATGGTTACAGTGAGCATTGTCATGGTTACAGTTAGCGTTGTCATGGTTACAGTGAGCCTTGTCATGGTTACAGTGTGTCTTGTCATGGTAACATGGTTACAGTGAGCGTTGTCATGGTTACAGTGAGTCTTGACATGGTTACAGTGAGCCTTGTCATGGTTACGGTGTGCGTTGTCATGGTTACAGTGTGCGCTGTCATGGTCACAGTGAGTCTTGTCATGGTTACATGGTTACAGTGTGTCTTGTCATGGTTACAGTGTGCTTTGTCATGGTTACAGTGAGTCTTGTCATGGTTACATGGTTACAGTGTGTCTTGTCATGGTTACAGTGTGTGTTGTCATGGTTTCATTGAGGGTTGTCATGTTCACATGGTTACAGTGTGTGTTGTCATGGTTACATGGTTACAGAGCGTCTTGACATGGTCACATGATAACAGTGATCATTGTCATGGTTACATTGCCTCTCCAGGGAATGACTGTAAGTTGTCTTCAGGTGGTCCCATCTCTAACCCCGTCCCCTGGCTGTGTCTTTGTCAGGACTTCCCCCAGCTGTACGAGGAGGCTCGGTACTACCAGCTGACTCCGATGGTGCGGGAGTTGGAGCGCTGGCAGGCAGAGCGAGAGGCCCAGCGGGCGGTGCCCTGCGAATGTCTGGTAGTTCGCATCACGCCAGATCTTGGCGAGAGGATTGCTCTGAGTGGAGAAAAGGTCCTGATTGAGGAGATCTTTCCAGAGACCGGAGACGTCATGTGTAACTCTGTCAACGCCGGCTGGAATCAGGACCCCACCCATGTCATCCGCTTCCCACTAAAAGGATACTGCAGGCTCAACTCTGTGCAGGTCAGTGCTACACCTGGACTACATCAGCTCACACCTGTACTGTACTACTGATCTGTACTACATCTGTACTTCATCTGTATTACACCTGTTTTACATGTGCAATACACCTGTATTACAGGTGTAGTACACCTATGCTGCATCTGTACTACATCTTTAATACACCTGGACTACTATACTACACCTGTTCATCTATATAACACATGGACTACATCTGTACTCAAACAGCTGCTCACCATCTGTCTGCAGGTCCTGGAGCGTCTGTTTCAGAAGGGCTTCACCATGAAGGCGTCCTGTGGTGGGGGCGTCGACTCCTCCCAATTTAGCGAGTACGTCCTGTGTCGGGACCTGCGGCACAGCCAGTCCATCACCAGCACCCCGATCCGGATCAAACAGGAGCCTCTGGACTAACAGCACCACACTTTATTAACAGTTTACTCGCACCTGGATCCTGCAGACGTCTCCAGCAGCTCAGACCTGAAAACTTGAAACTTGACAGGAAACCTCTGACCTCTGCAGACATCTGGAAGTTAAAATACACTTTGAGAGAGTTTCAGTTCAGATTGAATGTTTTTCATTTTGAGCCCGATGATGATGATGATGCAACACGGTAACAAGTCAAATGTACATAAAACTGCCAAATGTAAATATTTGTAAGAATAATTTGATCCTCAGCTTGTTTGGTGAATATCGTTCTGTGTATAAAATGATTGCAAAGGTCATTTTTATAAGTGTGTACGGATAATTTAATTCTTTTTATAAAAACTGCCATTTTGAAAATGTATATTTAATGTGTTTGTTAGCTCGTGTCACTATTTTTCATTTGTACAGATGTATTGATAAAAAGATAAAAAGCTCTCCATGTCTTCACTTTTAATTTAAGAGGATCAAATTCTGTTCAAAAACAAAGCAAACCAGGTTCTTTATCATTTTCTTTATTTAATTTTTTTTGCAAAGGTACAAACAACTGTAAAATTGCATTGCCTGAAATGCGTCAGGATTGAATACAGAATGTAGGAAATATAAATAGTCGCAAAAATTGTGTCCTTCCAACAGATGATACTTTAGCCGGGTGCTCTGAAGACTCTGACTGAATATACAGTACATACACCACAGCTGCAATTATCAGTTAGAGCTATAGACTATACAAACCAAATGCCCGATATGAGGGGAAAAACATTTAAAGCGTTAAAAACCTTCAATGTACACACCCTTTCCAAAAAAGTCATCTTAAAAACTTTCAACCGCAAACCGTGAAGCAAAACTGCATATTCAACTACTCTGACAAATGTATGTGTCCAACAGTACGAGGATTTTCAGACTGTCATTTGAATTCTAACATTTCACCTTCGCACATTGAGCTAAAAGTGAAATCACACGTCAGGCGGGATGAAGAAGAGGAGGAGGAGGGTATTGCAGGAATGTTTGATGTGAAGTTATATGGTTGTTAGCCTTCATGAACATAGCCTGAGTGAGTTTTCACTGTAGGAGAACCAGCTCCCTGTGATGACTGTTAACTTAAAAACTGTGAATCATTGTTAAAGGGACAGTTCAACATTTAGTGAAATCCTCTTTCTCTCAACTGTACTCTAAATATGAAGCTACAGACAACAGCTTTAGCATAAAGACTAGCAACAGGGAAACAGCTAGCTTATCATAAAGACTGGAGACTAGCTTCACATAAAGACTGGAAATGGGGAAACAGCTAGCCTGGCTTTGTTCAAAGGTAAAAAAAAAAAAAATCCACCTACCAGCTCCTCTGAAGCTCACTGATTTAACAATCTCATCCTTTAATAAACAAACAAATCAAAGTGTCAAATATATTTCTTATTTAATGTATTAAACTATACTACAACTAACAGTTTATTTAACAAGGCTATGTGCAGTTTTAACGTCTGACCAATCTCTATAAACAGATTCTGCACTTTTATGCGTAATCTGTAGGCAACAAGACAAGATTTTGGTATCGGAGGCATTCTGGTTGTCATTTGTAGTCTGAGTAATATTGACCAATCACATGTGAATGAACTTTGGTGTCATGCGGCTAAACAGGATGTGTGGAGAGCAAACCAGGCCAAATGCGTTGGCTGAAAAGCAATCTGGGAACCCATCGACTAACACATGACTAACAGATTAGTCCAAATGTTGCCTGGACCTACAACACCTACACTTAAGTAGCCTAGCTAATCAGACTATAAACAATAACCAGTACACAGAAAAAGAAGTCATGGCCTGGATATCTGCCAGCAACACCAAAGCCCCCTAAACATGCCAATTGGTTTTGAGATAAACGGCTGATCTGGGTATGTGGGTATGTGGTGGCTTGAAGTGATGACACCTATTAAAAACAGGAAATTTACTTATTTATCAGTTTAGGTGGGTTTTGTTACATTTAGACAGAACCAGGCTAGCTGTTTCCTCCTGTTTCAAGTGTTTATGCTAAGCTAGGTTTGCTGTTTCCCCTAGTTCCGGTCTTAACGCTAAGCTAAGCTAAACTAAGCTAAGCTAAGCTAATCTGTTTCCCTGTTTCTAGTCTTGATGCTAAGCTAAGATAGCTGCTTCCACTTGTTTCCAATCTTAATGAAAAGCTAAGCTAGCTGTTTGCACCAGACCCCCAGAAGTGCACCAGGCTCAAACAGACACAAACAGTAATACTGTAATTTCTGGGGTCCGTCACAAGATGCTATTGGGCCCCAAAAAATTTTCCCCCAGAGACTTCAGTGTAAACATTTTTTTTTTTAACGTCACAACCCCTGTGTAACATTTGAAAAGTCTAAAAGAGCTGCAAGATTAAGCTGTTTTTTCCCCATTCAAGTTAGCAACATGCTAAACTGGAAGTCAGCCACTTGGGCGTGCTCAGCGGCAATAAGTCTTAGGTGCCCCTGCTCCATGGGCCCAATGATGCGGAAGCAGTGCTGATCATCCGGGTGATTTTAATACCATGGAAACGAGCTTTTTTCGCTTCATGCACCACTGAACAACTTTTATGGGAATGACTGGGGGCCTGCCGTCAATGCTGTATCCTGGACTATTAATATATCCAGGGTTTCCTTCCCGTTAACAATAGTAATGCTAAGCTAAGCTAACTATTTCCCCTGTTTCCAGTATTTATGCTAAGCTAAGCTAAGCAGCTGTTGGCTGTAGCTTCATCAGAGTGGTATCAATCTGAATATGTGACTCTGAGAGAAAGAGAAGAAGAGGATTTACCAAAATTCGGAATTGTTCTTTTAACCTTTCATGTCTGTCGGCTGTTACCACGATGACCATGATTAACACTGACTCTACTCGCACACACGCACACACACCGAAACACACACACACACATTAAAATGATCTGGCAGCTGTTTCACCTCCGTCTGTCGACCATCGAAGCTTCACAGTTCTCGCGGTTCACTTTCCTCTGACAACACGACGCTCAATAAAACTCAGGATCCTCGACTTAAAATGCAATAGTGACAGCTGAATGTGTGACAGATCTGAGAGCGGAAAAAACTTTAAAAAATAAACTGAAGAGCCCATGAGCACGGCGGCGTCCTGAGTGGGCTGCAAAGAGAAAGATGGGACTCTAAAGGCACCTGTTCAGGTACAGCGCTGGAGCCACACACTGACAACGATCCTGTCAGTGGCGGCAGCTCGCTGACAGAGTCGAGCTTCAGAGCTGCACATCACTCACTGCAACATGTTCGAGATCAAAGATGAACTCCAGTGATTCTCCAGATCAGCTCTACGAATTTTAAAAGTGGTATTAAGTCTTAAGTGTCTCCAGAGGGATCTGTGAGAGTCTGATAAATGTCCAAACGTGCATTGTGGGTAATGAAGGTGCAAGGTCTTGACCAGGGAGGAGAATGTGTGGAATAAAAAGAGCATATCTCTGGGTCTGCTGATCTGACAGAGTTTGAAGCTGAGAAATTATAAACTGCTCCACACAGACAGTGTTTACAGTCAGGAGACAGGACGACGTCATGGTAACACTGCATTCAAGAGTCGGATCTATTGAAGTGGGGTTGTATGAGATACTTATTGGAGAAGCAGGCTGGAGTCTGACATGAAAGCTAACCAACATACAGCTGTGGATGGGAGCAGCGACAAAACTTATTTTAGCCACTTCAGAATATCAGTATCAGTTAAAGGGTACGCTATATTTAGAATATTTTCACTGCTTTACCTTTCCATATGACAGCCTGTTCCGACAGGGAAGCTGTTAACGGCTTCAATTCCTCATTTATGCTCTTGTCAAAGCTACCAGACTCCACTTAGAAAAGCATTCATTTTAGTTTGGTGAATATGGGAGCTGCTGGTCTACTGCTGCCTTGATTAGTTTGTTAGTTTGTGTTAATGTGTGATTTCGGTGAATCCAAACTAACCCTTTAAGTTCCCAAACTTGGAAAATAGCACAAACTAACTGACTGATTGAGGCAGCACTACACCAGTAGCTCCTGTGTTTAAATGTGTTAAATCACTGTTTTTCTCAATGGAGTCTGGCTTTTAAGAGAGTAATATAGCGGCTTTATTTTCCTTTTGGAGATCACTGTATGACATTAAGGTAAAGCAGTGCAAATATTCTAAATATAATGTACAATTAAACTGATAACGATTTTTTTTAGGTGGGACTTTTTTTAGGCGTCTTAAATGTTTTGTTGCTGACCCCTCCACAGCAGTACATTCTTTAGCTTCTGTGTCAGACTCTAGCCTGCTTCTCTAAACTGGGGCGTGCCGACTTACATCTCCTGTATGTAATATACTGACTACGGGTAAGTACCCCATACAACCCCACTTTAAAAAATCTGAACTAACCCTTTAAACCATAACGAGCAGCCAAGTGGGGAAAAATGTTCATGTCAGCCTCAACAAGAAACAACAGAGGTGTCAAAAACCTAATTAAGAAACTCATTCAGAGCCAAATATTAATTCTACTGCTGCACTTCCTACTGTGACCTGGACTTCAACGTTAAATCAGTGGAGTTCTCTTTAACAAAAACAGAGCTGAGAGTGATGTGCAGCCTGACAGAAGATACCTGAAGGAGCTGAAGATGAGACTTTTCAGAGAAGTTGTAGAAGTGGCGGTTCAGGTGAAAGAGGACAAAGTGAAGGTTGAAAGATGCTGCAGGGACTGACAGAGGGAGTGTGAAACACCTCTGAGGACGTGAGGACATGAGGACCGGAGGTTGAAGTGTAATCCAGTTTGTGATCTGCAGTGGGCCGAGTGCTCCTCCAGGAGGGACTCCTCATTTCAGCAGCGCCTTGTAGAGCATTAGAGAGCGAGCGGTGGAGCGGTCCTGCTCCAGACAGAAGATGAAGTCCCTGAGGTTAACTCGTGTGATCCGCTGACGAAGCTGCTGCCGGGACGAGGTGGCCGAAGAGGAGCCTGCACCCGAGCCTGAAGCCACCTGAAGGGAGGGACAGAGCGGCATTAGATACCTGAGTGTAGGTGGCGGGGTCCGACATTCAGTGAGGCAACACAGGACATGGAACAATTAATCAATCAACTAATTAATCAACAGAATATTTTTCAGCAGCCATTTTGATTATGTTATTGTCCAGGTTGTTTTTGGAGGATCTATTGTTTTCCTTTTTATACATCACAGAAAATTGTTTCGTGTTGATCAGAAGTTTGATTAGTCCATTAATTGATTGCTCTTCAAAATGCCAGATATTTCCTGAAGTCACAGTGACGTCTGGGGCTGGAGACTGTTGGTAATTCAATTTCAATTCAAATGGCTTTATTGGCATGAGGTAACAGGAGACTCTTACGAACACTGTGACAAAGCTAACTGTTAGCAACACTCGGCGAGCATTAGCTGACGGTTATAAACAAGTTTAATAAAGAGCTGTTTCGGTGTTGGTATGAGATTCACGG